CGCCAGACAGAGAGAGACATAGAGACAGAAAGCGAGAAATCACCCCCCAGAGGGGATGGTCACGCCGCAATCCCTTCTCCTCCATTCTCCTCTCGGGATCTTGGGCACGCACGCACACGCGCCCGGCGTGAGTTTTAAGCCACCGGGTCCGGGACACGAACCGTGGTCGACTACGTGGGAATCCAGCGACATAGCCATTATGCTAACTGCTGGTTCCCTTGGGTGAGTTTTTACCTCCTCTTCTGATCTCCTTTCTGAGCCCACCAGGCTGGTGGAGAATGAGGGATGTCGAGTCTGTTTGTAGATGAGAAGACTAAGGCTTACGGTCTCATAACCCATGGCAGGGAGGCAGGATCAGAGCCTGGAGCTGTCAGCAGTACCAGCCCCTGCTGCCCTGACCGACCACTGTTCTGCTACATCCTTCCCCCACTCCCTGTGACAATGCAATACCCAAGTGCAAATTAAACAAAAGCAGCCTCCCCTAGCTACAGGATGAGAGGAAGCAGCACGGCCTGCACCTGCCTTCCTATAGGTTTGGAGGCCCTGCCCTGACTCTGCCCCGTCGTGGTGTGTGACCAGGGGAAAGTTGTTGCCCTCTGTGAGCCTCAGTGAGTCTTGCTACGCTGCTATCCGAACATGCCCACAGTCTGGTCAGTCTGCTTCTTCTCCCAGAGGCTGTCTGAAATTGTAGGAGATGCGACTGGAGGGTAAGTTAGGTTCTGTTCTCATCTCTGACAGAGACAAGGGTTGAGAGATCCCTACGGCCAATCTCAAGTTCCTGGTGTTATTAGGAACCCCCGAATTCTACCAAATGAGGCTCCTGGGCTAACCCCCAGAGCCTGACTCGGAGTTGAATCGAACTTCATTTTCTCCTTCCTCTGCAGGTCACTATGCACCAAACCCTGAACAGTCATTGAGAATTGGGTGGGCCAAGGGAGACAAGGCAGGTGTGACCCACCCTGTGGGTGTTGCAGTCAAGAACAAGAGGGGAGTGTTTCTGGGTGGTTTCAGGGGGAGGCGACCTCTGGATGGGGCTTAAAGCCTGCGTGAAATGTTGACAGGTGAAATAGAGATGCCATCCCAAGTCCAGGGCACAGCTTGAGCAAAGGGCAAGAGGTGGGGATTTGTAGGGTGCCTCTGGGGGCCAGTAGAGTGTCTGGTGAGCCTGGAAAGTATCAATGTGGTGGGAGACGTGACTGGAGGGTAAGAGGGTCCCTCCTGTAAGGCTTCGAATGCCCCACAAGGTCTGGGCTGTGAATCTGTTTTTACAGAAAGGGAAGCTGATGCTTCCAAGAGGTGAACAAAAGGGCCTACCTGTGGTCCACTGAGCTTAAGTGGCATGGTGGGGCCTGCGACCCAGCGCTGGGTGGAGGCAGTGGGAGACGGATGGGCCACATTTGGTGGGTGATGCCTTGTGGGGCTGTTCCGAGGACGAGATGACCAGGTCAGCACCTCGCCCTAGTCGGTGCTGTGTTCTCTGCTCCCCAGAGACTGGAACACTCAGATCTTGCCATGGACAGACCACGCTCTCACAGGCCTTGAAAGGTCGTACCTGCCCCCTGCCATTTCCCCAAGTCTCCTCTTCTAACAGCCTTACCTCACCCCATCCCACCTCAGGAGAGTCTGCCCCGCCCTCCCTCGGCTCCCTCACGCCAGACGCTGCTCATCCAATTAGTCAGCACTGGTAGGAAGGCTGAAGTCTCCTCATGCTCCCACCCACGGCTGCCTG